TTTCGTACATTATATATCGCACATTAATATATTGACAAATATTTGTATAAATAAAAGTATTAAAAAAATTAATAACAGTTTTAAAAAATTAAAGTCCACGAATATTTGAATGTTATTCGATTCGATATTTCGTAAGTATTTTCGAGGTTAGAGAAGTCTCACGCTAATCATAATCTCATACGCTTGCGCTGAAGTTACCCCCTCTTAGATTTGAGAAAACATGGCGGGCCAATCAAAACACTCCACAAGAATATGCCGCTTGGCCAGACTCTTATTAGAGGGTCTCTAGCGGCTCATGGACGGTCGCGCGCTAGTATTGGCGGTAGGCCGGACTCGTCGAACGGATACTCGCTCATTCGGCGATATTCAAAAATTAATATCTCGTTAAATATTGCGAATTTTGCAAAATGGTAGAGAACTTTTCGATTCAGTTTAGTCTATTCTATTTACCCATGAGCGGAGATACACCTATTAAGAGACACCCTGTATATATCACAAGTTTATAACACACGGCTTGCACACAGCTGACACGACTTTTTCGGCTTTGCTGCTCGTTTGCTTTTGCTGTTCGTTTGGTTGAACTTTAATAAGATGCGGCAAAATGTATTTTGCGCCGGAAGTGCGTCACCTAAGTAATATTTTTAACCAATAGTAATGAATTGCTGCGACGGCATACTGCGCATGAAATGACACCTTTTTTGAAGTTCACCCAAACGAACAGCAAAAGTGAACGAGCAGCAAAGCCGTAAAAGCTGTGTCAGCCGTGTGCAAGCCGTGTGTTATAAACTTGTGATATATATAATAATAGAAAATATAACTCGTGATGTGATACAACGGAAAATATAAGTATAATGAAAAATTGCGGAAGAAGTACGGAAACTTGTTTATGATTAATTTATTTTTAATATGTTCTAATAGGTCTAATATATGTATACGCGCGATTGAGATCTTCTTCAATCTATCGACATTGAAAACGTAAATGATAAATAAACCGCAATGATAACTTTTTAAACTTGGTTATTATAAAGTAGTCTTATATTGTAATTTAAAAAATTATTGATTATTAATAAATAAAATAATGCGCTATAAGCCAGAGCAGGGTTATTTAATTGTCAATATAATAAGATTCGTTAAAATGCAATTATACAATAGATATACTCAACAGATATATCGCTAT